GGATGTTGGACTAGGACACTGGAAGATCAAGGTTGAAATCCCCACTTGAGCACAGAAACCCACTGGGTGGGTGACCTTGAGCAAGTCACATTCTCTCAGCCTCAGAGGATGGCAATGGCAAAGCTCTTCTGAACAAATCTTACCATGAAAACCTTGTAATAGGGTCACCATAAGTTGTAAACGACTGGAAGGCACACAACACACACCTATCTCCAATAAAGGTTCTTATGGAGATGGAAATATTTCAAAATTTTGGTGGAGGGGAAAGAAACCCTCCTAAATCCAAAACATTTCTGGTCCCAATGATTTGGGAGGAGGGAGACTCAGGTCCAAAACTGCAGAAATAATCCAGTTAGAGACCTCTTTAACTGCCCTGGCTCTATTATTATTATTATTATTATTATTCCACCCTTCTCCCAGGATTGGGACTCAGGGCAGGTTACAACATTAACCAACAACACAATTAAAAACACATAAAAACAGAATTAAACTACTACTACAATAATTAAAAACAGATTGCATGCTAGAATATCAAATCCTTTAAGATAAAAAATATTTTTTTAAAAAGACCATTAAAACAATAGAGCACCCCCAAGCCATTCTTTAAAAGCTTTGTTTTGAATGCCTGTCTGAAGTGCTAGGGAATTCTGGGAAATGTGGTTTTGGGAAACAATTTAGCCTTCTCTGTCAGAGATAGAGATAGAGAGAAAACTCTGGTGCTACAGCAAAGTACAATTCCCAGGATTCCCTAGTACTGAGCCAAGGCAATTAAAGCAGTCTCAAACTGGATTATTTCTGCAGTCTGTTTAGGCCCCATGTCTCAGAAAACTAGTCCCCAGGATTCCCTAGCATTGAGCCAAGGCAGTTAAAGCGGTCTCAAACTGGATTATTTCTCCAGTGTGTTTAGGACCAAAGAGAGAGAGAGATAGAAAGAGAGGAGAGAGAACCCTGGTGACACAGCAAACTACAATTCCCAGGATTCCCTAGTACTGAGCCAAGGCAGTTAAAGCGGTCTCAAACTGGATTATTTCTCCAGCGTGTTTTGGACCTTTACCTGTATTGTGAATGGAAGGCCTATTAGCCGAGCTCTCCTCCTTCTCTCCCTTCTTACCTGGACAGGCTTCTCCCCCCAGGTGAAGGCGGAAGCAGGTGAAAAGACCCCGGATGAAGGACCAAGCCAGGCAGAGACCCACCTCTGGCCGGCCAAGGCTCCAAATGCTTCTCTCTCTCTGACTCCGATGACTTCTGGAATGCTCAGTCTGGCCCGCTTGCAAGACAGCTCCCTCGCCCTATGGGGACGCAGCCCGGCCTTTCCCCCGCCCCTCAATCCAGCCAATGGCAGCCGCGCAATGGAACGAGCCTCTTCCCTTCCCTCCCTGGGCGGCGCCTTCCTCACTCAGGGCCTGATGTACAGACTGCCAGAAATAATCCACTTTGAGGCCACTTTAACTGTCCTGGCTCTGTGCTAGGGAATCATGGGAATTGTAGTTTTTTTTCCTGAGACATTGAGCCTTCTCTGTCAAAGAGCTCTGGTGCCACAATAAACTACAGTTCCCATGATTCCTTAGCACTGAGCCAGGACAGTTAAAGTGGTCTCAAGCTGGATTATTTCTGGCAGTCTGTATAGGCCCATCCGCACTGCAGAAATAATCCGCTCTGACCCAGCTTTGACTGCCCTGGCCCCATTTAATAGAATTCTGCACTTTCCAGGATTTCATAGCATTGAGCCAAGGCAGTTAAACTGGGGTCAAACCAGATTTATTTCTTCTTCTTTAGTACAGTTCCCAGGATTCCCTAGCATGGAGCCATGGTACAAAGGCTGCATCCACACTGGAGAAATAACCCGCTTTAATTGCCATGGCTCAAGGCTATGGAATTTTGGGATTTGTAGTGGGGCCCAGATGTATATACAGGTGTATTACGTCTTTATATACAGGTATATTACCTGTATATATTTAATAATAAATATATTTAATACATTTAATACCTTTACCCAGG